GCTTCGATCTCTTGTTAGGGTTAGATGTAATTGATCGATAACTTATGTATTTCTTCTAATCTTTGTATTTTGAACAAGTTATTATTCAATATTGATGTTATCTTTGATTTTATATTGACGGGTTTGAGTGGGTGTTGAGAAATCTCTCTCAAATCCTAGATCTAAGATATCCATCTACCAATGAGCAAACTCTAGAAATAGATTTGTGAGTTGATATTCACTAGTATCAAGCTTTTGTATAATTGTTTTGATTGTCAGCATGAGACATCATCTAGTGATTAATACGGTAAAACCCATGATAACGCTTTAGACATAAACAATATTGTGATGATGCATGATATTAGAGATGAGGAACTATTTTCACATACATAAATTAGTTGAATACATGCTAAAAAGGGTTAATCGTGTGTGCATATTCTGATCATGGCGTTGCATATGAACTAATAATTTATTTGATATGGATGTTATCCTTGTTTATTTGTTTACACATTAATTTGAACCGCTATAGACATATACTCTTCAGATCTTGATCTAGGGTATGCATCTGTTAGGTTCTTAACTCTAAAGATAGTTTTAGATCTAACATTCACTATGGGTATCAAATCTTAATGCTCTTTATTGTTTAGTTGCGTGAAACAACATTGATGAGACAATAAGGTAGAACTCTCGTCAGCGCTTCAGACATGAACACTGATGTGAGCGATACATGATAGTAATAGACGAATGATTGATTTGTGTATAACTGGTCAGAAGAATACATGTGTTATCGATTGGTGAACTCCAAATCCAACAAGGCTCCGTTTATTTTAAGTCTTTACTTTATATTTTCCATCTTAATATTTTCCACTTTTATTTATTGTACCTTTAATCTTCTAACCATTTTGTAATCATGAGCTTAGAAACATAGAGACCGTTGAATGACATTCTTTCCCTCGTACCGATCCCTGTGGAGACGATAAAAATCCGGAGAGAATTCTTCAAATTTTTTTGCTTCTTGCTGCTATACTGCAGTTCGAACAATAGATTACGAGAGAAATGAAAAGGGAGGTTTTTCATGTTTTCTAGATGATTTGAAATGATAGATAAACTCTCTATTTATAGGCTAAGAAATGGTGTAAATTTTGAAACAATATAAGAGACAATTAAATGACCTGATTGATTAGGTAGTGCAAAATAATCAACAATTTCTTGCCAAAATGGAAGGTTTAGATAAAAAGTCGTTATCAATCATTAAGAGACTGTCATAATCCATTGGTTATGCATCATCTAGTCAATTATGCTATAAATCTAATTAATTAGACGTCTTAAAAAACACTTCTTAATTAAGCAAATTGTCCCCTATTCAACTGGATAGGCTCCAGAAATATTTTTTGGTTGTTTTAATTGAAAAATGAAAGGCTTCTTAATATTTTAAGTGTGCGTGTGTGTGATTTAGCCATAATATTTCATAAAATCCTCTTGTATCTTTAGAATACATTGATCACTCAGACATACATGATCAAGTGAGATTTCACACTTCCTCTATTTCACATTTTAAAACTTCAAGTCTTGGCATTAATTTTGACTTTGTCACATACCTTAAGTCTTCTTGACGAGGCTTGAGATATTTCCGTATTAGTTTTCATTAACTGAGATGTTGAAAGTTTAAATCATCGATGATCATAAACTCCAAGTCATCACTTGAGAGTCGTTGGACTATAATATCTCTCAGACCAATACCTCATTTAGACGATGGCGAGCAAATAATCTTCCAAGATGTGGTGATAATCAACTTTTTATTGTCTATGCTACTTTACCATTCATAAATCTTAAGACTATATAGATGCATGTCTTGTATGATTGACTTGACCAATTGAACTTTAACCATCTTAGAAACAAGGTGGTCCTTATAAGTAGTTAGCTTGACCAATACTCTATATGCTATAATTTGAAGATGATGAATTCTACATTTGCCATTGAATATAAGAACTCCAAGATAATTAAATGTTGCATGTCCAACTGTGAATCCAAGCATGTCTACAATCTGCATCAACTTAGATCCAAAACCACATTCGCTATAAAACTTACACTCAGTTATACTGATGTCTCGACCAAAATTGTGACCATATACTTGAAGTAGATATTTAATGACTTGAGTATTTTACTTATTTACTTTTAAGGATTGAAATTTTGATTTTTTTTTTTGTTTTCACCATCAATGTCCGATCCATTAGACTTACTCATCCGATATGAGAGTCAGTTTTGAAATCAAGTAATTCCTTCCTTCTTTCGATTGTAGTTGCAAATAATCGAATTTTGGTCATTTCTACTAACTCTCACAGCAATTACCACTAAACTAATTTTGATTATTAAACTAGTCGATCAATAATTTTTTCACAAACTGCATATTTTTCCATTTACTTTTATCATATCGTGCAACCACTTTCTTTTGCTATCTACATCTTATTCCTCTACTTCATGCAACCACTTTCTTTCATACCAGTTTATTTACACATCATTGAGTTCAATTTCAATTTTGCTCACTTTCCTCTCTCTCTTTATAGGCTGTCAATGGTAGTTGTAATCAGATGCATCACGAGACGTTAGATAAATTTCCTTTTTACGAGTGATTCAAAAAAAGGAATACTTAAAAGTAAAACTAAATTTCCTTTTATTTTTAATTGAAAACTGAATTTATTTACGTCCCTGCATAGATGGGTGGTATTGAAAACTGAAAAGAGAGGTTAGATTATGAAGCTTTCCTTAACTAGTAAGTTGAATTTTGTGCTTCTCACGTAACAGAAAAATATTCTTTTGACAAAAAATTAAATATGCAATAGAAAGGGAAGTATATGAAAAGTTCAATTTGGCTATCCTAGCTATATTCCCCTTATCTTTATTTCTATTATTATATTAAATTACAAACGGAAAGGATAAAGTTTTTGTAACTTATAGTAATAAATAACTATCAGAAGTAAAAAAAGAGCTAAATATGTATGTCTATAATCTCTTTTAATATTTCAAATTTAATTTTTAATTTTTTAAAATATATTTTTTTAAATAGTCTTTTATTAAAATTTTCAACTACATTTTTAATCCTTAATATTAAAATAGTTGTTAAAACGGTCGTTATTTCAGTTGTAAAAATCATTACTAAGTTGCAAAAATAATTAAAAGTGTAGATAAAAAATATTAAAAAAATTATTTATTAAATAAAAATTTTGAAAAGTTAAAAACAAAATTAAAAATATTTAAAAGAACGACAAACATATTTAATTAAAAAAATAATAAAGAAATTGAAAATAATATTTGTCTTTGTTTAAGTAGGTGAATCTCTAGGTTAACTTTAATTCGTGGGTCCAACAATCACTTTCGTCTTTGCATTTGCATCTTCATATTTTTCAATTTCTTTCGTTATTATCTTATTTGCATTTTCTGTCACACTCATCCCAACCCACATGTCAACCAAATAAAACAATACCTTCCTTAATTCAACTTATAACAACTTCTTTCTTTTCATACAAACCCACTTTCCTAAAATTGTTCACCATTCAATGCCCTACTATTGCTTATGGGTATATATTTCAATATTCGTTATCTTATCCATAGTTAATTCATATGTATATTTGACAATAAAAATTATATTACAACTATAAGTTGGGTCAAACTAGGGTTAATTATAATTTAATTGCTTTAAGTGATGGCAAAAGAAACGTAAGTAGTTGAGTATACACAACCATCTCTTGAGTTTTAATGGATGAATAAATTAACCATAATTACTTTTGTTTGATAAATAATTTTGAGTGAGTCTCACCACTAAAAAATAGTTAGTGAGAGTTTATTTAATTTCTTATTAAATCCTAAATTATCAAAAATTACTTTTTTAAAATAATCAAATGTTAATGATTTTGTTAAGAATATTGTTTAACAAATGTGAAATTTTACTAGAATTTTTGTTTTTATTATTTTAAAAAAGAGATATATACTTAACTTTTTAAAAATTAATTATCTTATTGTTCAGAAAATTTGAATTATATATTTAAAATCATTTAGATGAGAAGAAACATATTTATTTATTTTAGTTGAGTCAAATATCGAATTCGAGTTTCACCATACAACAAGGTTAAAAACTAAAATAGTAAATGTTGATATTGTTAGTAACATTTTGTTTTAAATTCGAACTCAAAACATGCATATTTTTAGAAATTAGATATTTTTTGTGCAAAATTATAGAAATTAATTATTCGAGTCATGAAATATTATAATGGAATGTAAAATTCTCTCAGATTTTTTTAATATTGTTTCATGTCTAAATTGAACTTGAATTGAACTCGAACTCGTAATCTCTGCTTAAGATAAAAAAATATTTATTATTAAGATCATCCATCTGTACAAATGATATTTAATTTATATTAAAAAAAACATTAAAAAAAATGCGCACATTTAAAGTTGAGTCGAACTCATAACCTCTTAAGATAAAGGAAATATTTTACCATTTTCATACAAGTACTTTTGAGACAATCTTCTTGTAAAAATGATATTTAATTTATGTTAAAAATACTTAAACAATGCCAATAAAGCACCTTCTATATAAGCTCTTATAATAATTTGCCAAAAAAATTTCTTATAAAAAAATAATAAAATAAAAAATATAATAATATGATCATTGAATGCAAAACCAAGTCTCATGGGTTTCATTTTCCTACGTTATATTTTGTCTTTACAATGTTTCTCTTATTGTCTCTACACTTTAGCTACTAAACAGAAAGGACAATTTTTTCACACACAAAAAGAGAACTTCCTTTGTCTTTTGCCTCCTTCATTTAATTTCCTCCCTCTCTCTCTCTCTCTCTCTCTCTCTCTCTCTCTAACCTATTCTTACTTCAACCATATGCAAACACACAAGAATAACCTGCGACCCAAGCTTTTCCTCTAATTATTCCTCTCACACGTACCACAAAAATTGTCTTCATCCTTTTCATGTCGGTTTTTTTCTCTCAACGACATAGAAACTATTAACCATGAGAGGAATAACATCTTGCTACAACGAACATGCCATTAGAGTTTCTGATTTATACTGTTCAAGACCTTCAAATCCAAATCATTCTTATCTTGCTCCAAAGCTCAATAACAACCCTTCAATCCAAAATTCAGTTACTTGCATCTACAAACTCTCGATTCAAAACCAAGAACTTCTCATCACAGTAACATGGACCAAGAAACTCATTCGTCAAGGTTTCATCATAAACGTCGATTCTGATTTTGTTAATGTTATCTCGAAAAACAGAGGAGATGAAACGTTTCGGCTTCAAACCTTTCAAGTTAAACTCACATGGGATCTTTCCACTGCTAGATACGACGAAGGGCCTGAACCGGTGGAAGGTTTTTACATCATCGTATATGTCAACTCTGAATTGGGTCTTTTCCTCGGTGACAAAGAAGATGAATCATCCTTGCAAGAGAAGAAAACACACGGAGCGAGAATTTCAATGGTCTCAAGAAGTGAAAGATTTTCTGGTACAAGTGTTTATGCGACAAAGGCCAAATTTTCTGAAACGGGGATATTACATGAGATATTGATAAAGTGCGGTGTTGAAGATGGATCGAAGAGTCACGCGTTGTGTTTGTTTATGGATAAGAAGATGGTGTTTCAAGTGAAAAGATTGAAGTGGAATTTTCGCGGGAATCAAACCATTTTCGTGGATGGTTTAGTTGTTGATATGATGTGGGATTTGCATGAATGGATTTTCAATCATCACAGTAATGATTCTGTTTCTTGTGTTTTTATGTTTAGGACAAGAAGTGGTTTGGATAGTAGATTATGGTTGGAAGAGAAGAATTTGCAGAAAGAAAAGGAACAAGATAGAATTGGATTCTCTTTGTTGATATGTGGATGTAAGAAACCTGATTAATTTTTATGTTTTGGTGTTGGTTTAACTGGTTTATTGAAGAAAAACTGATAACATATGTGACATTATAACATAACATATGTTTTTGATTTGTGATTTAATGTCTGTTATGAAAGAATGGGGTGCAGATTTTAAGGTAATTGTTTAATTACTTGTACTGTTTTGTAAATTAGCTTTTCTTTTTTGATTATACAAAAACAGTTTATTTGAAGCTAGGTGTGTACAATTTTAATGGTTCTGTGAATTCTTTTTATTTTCTTTTTATTTCTGTCCATCTTTATTTGCGATCATTAATATGAAAAACTTAGAAATTTCTCTTCATCTTCCTATGCGACCATTATTCTCCTTTGTTGCCACATTGATGTGTGCTTGTATAATGTTATTGATAAAATGTCAAATAGTTGTTATTTAAATTTTTATATTTAGACAGTTTTTACATTTTTACTATATAATTACACAACTATTGATGGATGTTGTGATGTAATTCAAATTCAAATTATTTTAATTTATATTTTTATTTGAGTTTGTGTTTGAATTTAATTTATATTTGAATTTGGATTAATGTATTTAAAGTCAAATTTCAGTTGTATTCGTAACATAATTCTGAATTTGAGATTTTGAAGGTTAGTTACGTTTTACATTCTCTCTCTTTACTTATGAAGTTTTTCTCAATGTTCTTCAATTCTTGTACAACAATAAAGATTTAGTGTGAAACTCCAATAAAGTGTCTAGAGCTCCGGTTCTGATTCACAGGGAAACACGAGTGTAGTGAGGTGTGTGATTGATTTTGTTCTTGAAATTTGCGTTGAGTTGAAATTCGAAATCGAAGAGAATCACATGTTTTGATTCTCAGGGTTGGAAAAACACGAATGTTGGTGAGAACTAAGTGATTTGCACAAGAACGAAGATGAACGACGAAACGATAGCTTGAACACAAAGCTTTCCGTATTTGATAAAAAGAATTGGAAATGATGGTTGACTCAAATGCGTATGTTGTTTAGAGCTCAAGATGTTCTTGATCTTGTTAATGACGGTTACACGCCGGTTTCAGAAAATGCAACAAAAGCGCAAAGAAATGCATAATGTGAAATGAGGAAGAAGGATTAAAAGGTGTTGTTCTATATCCAGCAGTGTGTGGATACAAAGGTGTTTGAGAAGGTTGTTGATTCAACGACGGCGAAGGCGATGTGAGATACACCAATACAGTGCTATGGTGGTGAGACATCAGTGAAGAAAGTAAAGTTGCAGCCCCTATGCAAGAAATATGAGAATCTCACCATGAAAAACAATTAAAAGGTGTCTGGTTACATCTCCAGAGTGATTGTGGTCACGAATGTGATAAAGTCTCGTGGAGAAACGCTCTATGAACAAGTAATCATAGAAAAGATACTAAGATCACTTACTCCTTAGTTTGACTACATAGTTGTAGTCATAGAACACTCTAAAGACACCAACACCATGAAAATTGAAGATCTTTGGAGTAGTTTAGAGGCACAAGAGTTGCGTCTGTTTAAAAGAAACTTTGAAAGGGAGACAGAACAGGCTCTAAAAGCTCAGACTCTGAAAGCCTCTGTTGTCAAGAAGAACCAGAAGCAAGCATGGTTAGAGAACAAGAAAAAAGTATGGTGGTGGTGGTGCTTTGAAGTCATAACTTTCCAATCCATATGAAAAGAAACATACGAATGTTTAGAAGGGAAAAGACAAGTTTGATAAGAGAAAGATTCACTACTAAAGATGCAACAAGTTTGGCCATTTTGTTGTTGATTGTTGGTCAAACAAGGTTAGCAAAGGTGAAGAAGCCAACATAGCCAGAAGAAATTTTGATGATGAACATGTGCTATTGATGGCATATGAGAATGTAGGTGGAGCAACTATAGATTGATGGTATATGGACACTGACTACTCAAATCACCTAACCTAAAACAAGTCATGGCTGGTTGACACTGACTATGGTAGAAAGACTAAGATCAGACGTGGTGATAACAAGTATCTGTATACTGAAGGAATGTGAAATGTCATAGTGAATTTGAACAATTGCAAAAATGTACTGATTAAGGATGTATGGTGTGTTCTTGGCATGAATAGAAATATGATGAGTGTAGGTCAGCTGATTGAAAAAGGTTTTTTTGGTAACCATGAAGGACAATCTCTTGAAGTTATATGACTGTAATCAAAATTTGATTATGCACTATGAACTGGGAAGAAACAAGACATTTTACGTAAATGCTGCAATAGCAGACACTCAACGCCTTAATGCTAGAAGTGCTGAAGGGAAAAATGAGTTATGGCATAAGAGATCGAGTCATCTGAACTACAGAAGCTTAGGGCATCCAAGTTAAAAGAATATGTGTCATACCTCAAATTTTACCCCTAGATTTCATCATCATTAGTTGCATCATTTGCATAGTATCAAGAAGACATGTGGTTGATCAGTCAAGTTTGGTGTATTCATCAACATATCAACTATTCCACTCATGGATCAAGGTTTCCTTCCATCAACAGTCAAGTTTGAGGTTGCATCAATTCAAGGTCATGAGACCTCATTTCTTCAAGTACGCCAAACTAGGGTTTTGGTCAAAGTCAACTAGATATTTACTTTTCAACTAAGACATGATCACATGCTTTGGAATATGATTCAAGACCCTTAAATATGTCTTTGGAGTCCACTCACATGACCTAATTGGATAAAGAAGTTTGATTCATTAACAAGTGCGAGATTTGAATTCATCTAATACAAAGTCAAAGTTTGACTTTTGACTTTTTTTGGTCAAATATGCAAAATGATCAAATTGGATTATGATTAATCAAGAAAATCAAGAAAAAGAATCAAATTTATAAAACTAGGGTTTTGGATTTTTTCTAAGTTATGGAAATGCATGAACAAGTGACCTACTTTCCAAGATCATAACTTCTTCGTCAAGCATCCAATGGAAACACTTGAGGATTGTGTTTAAAGAAGGCATCTGATACTACAAGATGATGAAAATTACAAGCCAAAATCTTTCTTGAAGTGAACATTGTGATTTATCAAAGTTAAGATTTTGCAAGTTGTGTGAAAATCCAACATTTAGAATTTTTCTATGTTTTTCACCTTACCAAGTGCATGACTTTATGGCCTTTTTGTGATCAATTCAAGCCACCATTTTTTGTTCCCAAGGGATGTATTTAAAGATGACATTTCATACTTAAACAATATGGAATAATTGCATCAAAAACTCACGAAGATTGGAAGTTATGATTGATCAAAGTTGAGATTTAGAAGTTGTAAAAATTGACAAATACTTAGAATTTTTTCTAAGTGTCAAACAGCTGAAAAATCCAATTTTGATGGACAGTTTTCTCCATGATGTAAGTTGAATTCTTTAAGTGATCAACATGAAACTTGTAGTATGTGATGTCTTCTTTCCAATGGTACCAAGAGCATAAATTTCTTTTGCTTGAGCATGGAGTTTCGAAGAGGAGAAGTAGCCATGGCATAGCTGATTGTTCAAACCAAAAAATTTTCTAAGTACTAGGAAGATTTGGTTACACGAATTTTGGGCCACTTTTGAGAACTTTCTAACCACTTTCTCAGCATGTGATTGTCATACCCCAAACTTGTCCCACCTTTTTCTAACTTTAACTGGCTTTCGCTTCGCATTCATCTGCATCTCCATTGAGTCATAACTTTGCATCCATTCATTTGCATTGGTCTTCTAAGACATGGGATTACATCGTCTCTTTGAATTAAAATTTCCTATTTGTTTGGAAGTTCTTCCATTCAAGTGTGAAGTAAAGGTTGAGCTCATAACATCATGGATATCTTCCTATCAAAGTTCATTCATCTATAGGGCTTTTCTCATCAAAGATCATCAAGTATCAAGTATATCTGCTTCAAGATTTCGCAAGAGGCATCAAGTGATTAAGGTTTTATCATGGTTTTAGTGGAGACTTAGGAACTAGGGTTTTGTTGATTGTCAATATCTCAGGTTGTTACCTTCATATGTATATTCATCCACTAACCACGTCCCAAAAATCCAAAATGTGTTGTCTCTGCTTCCATTCTTCTTATTGCTTAACTCAAGTTATGGCAAGATTCATTTGAGGCTATCAGGGCAGTGGTGTGTGCATTGTTGATTGAATTTTAATGGATATAACCTAGTCTTATTCAAGCAGGGATTTGGTTTCATGATTAAGGTCAGGGAGCAGGATTCAGGTGATGTGTGGCTAATGATCTAATTAGGCTTGTTTGCCAATTCAAGTCTGTATGGATGAATCAAGTTCTCGGGGTGTAATAAAGCAGGTGCTTCATGATTAAGATTATCAGGGTTTAATTAGAGTTTTGAGCAATGTTTTGAAGTTCGTATCTCAATTCATAACCCCTTTGATTTCAAGGCATTGGTTCTTGATCAAGAAAGTTCATAGTGAAGTTTTGGATTTATCAGTATTCAAGTGCAAGGTTCGGGTGGATTTATTAATTCAAGGCATTAATTTATTTTGCAATCAAGGCTTTGGGACCAATCAGTTCATATAAAGTCATGTTCCTTTGATTTTAAGGCACTTTCCCGAGCATTTGGTTCATGAAAAATATTTGGTTTAATATGATTCAAATGGCTAATTTCAAGATTAATTCAAGATGGATTCATTTCTCAAGAATTTATTTAAGGATTTAAATGTCTTGATTTTTATTATCAATTTCAAGGCGTTCTAAATGCAAAGGTGCAAATGGCAAGTCATGGCCCAAAAGGAAAGCCCATTACACAAGGAAATTCACGTTGCTCATTATACATAAAAATCTACAAAACTAAAATTCACTACATTTGAAGCCCACATTCCATAAGCCCATATCACATTCCAAAAAATTATTTTCAATTCAATTATCCATTTGTTTTTTTATCCAACTCAATTTTATTGTTGGTAACAATTGACCTTTTTTCAATAGCAATCTAAACAATTTTCTTTCAAACCAATTTTTCATATTCAAATAAATTTCTAAATCCATTTTTTAAAAAAATACAAAAAGT